CTCTCTCTCTCTCTCTCTCTCTCTCTCTCTCTCTCTCTCTCTCTCTCTCTCTCTCTTTCTTTCTACGTGTGTCATCCTGCGTTCGGGAAACGCGCGTCTTGAAGGTAGGTAACATTAACTACAAGAATTCTCTCGAGAACAAGACTCACTTGTGATTGCGTGTTTGGTGCGACAAGGGTTTCTTCATGTTCGTCGAAAGTAATACAAGTAATAAAAGTACAAACGTAATAAATGATGATACAAAGCGACACGTCACGTCGAGATAAGATAAAACTGTATAAGATATAATCTCCAAAGAGAACCTCGACGTTCACATCGGCTTCTTCACGCATTTCTTCAGCATGCCGATCATTTTGCCGATGCCCTCGTGAATCTCCGAATAAGTGGCGCACGTGTACAACCAGGCCGGCGTGCTGTACACATTGTACTTTTTGCAACGCGTTACACCTCTTACGTCCTTCATCTCCAGCTTGGCTCCCATATCCCGCACCTTCTTGATAGCTTCAGCATGCGGCCATTCTTCTTTGGGCGCTGTAGAATGATTTTTAAATGTCACGAGAGAGAAGGATTATCGCAGAATGCTCGTCAGTGACTCACATTCTTTGCCGAGAGTGACTTTCACGCCATTCAGCACTTTGGCGACAACCGCGCTGGCTATGCATATGCTGCCGATCGGTTTTTTCTCGCAGTAAAAGTCCTCGATGAGCTTCTCCAAGTCAGGTAACACGGTGCAATCTGCGCCCTTGGCGGCGAAATTGCTCCTTTTGAAAGAGAAGTGACAGCTGGATATATTCATTCGGAACTTTCGCTCGACAGAGCTCTTTGCTGTCTTAATCAAACGAAGAGACATTTTGCCGAAGATTCCATAGAATTATTAATAGGAATTTCAGTAATAATTTCATAAAATTTATATGATTTAGATATAAAAGATAGAAATGAATTAGTCATTTCACTCCATATATATGTTAAATTAAAGATCCTATACAATTAGTATATTAAGAATGCATTTATTTAAAAATATATATAATCTCATGCTTAGCGAAATTTTCTTATATGACCTCAAGAAAATTCTTCTAAAGCCACAAGGAAAATATTCTAATGCTAAAAAGAAAAAAACTCTAAGTTATAAGCTATTTTCTTATATTCGAAAAAATCTTATATTCGAAAAAGTAATCTTATATTTGAAAAAATTTACAAAAAGAATATTCCTTTTCTAATAAAGAGAAATAATATCGTGCTTAAAATATTTTCCTTTTGCTTTTAATGGAAATCTCTCGAGACCATGTATAAGCAAATTCGACTGAGAAGATGAGATTATATTATTTATTTATTAAATTATATATTTTTGAGGATGTTTTATATTATATATATATATATATATATATAATTTTTTATTGAGATTGAAATATATTACTGCTCTGTTCCTTGGCTCTATTATCCAATTACTCCGTTATCATCTACACACGTACAAGGTGCGCGCAACGCCGAAGCCTCCAGGTATGATAAGCGCGCCGTGTGTGCAAACCTCACATTCACACAGAGGTTTCACGCACGATCTCGCCAATCTGGCAGCCTCAACGAGAGCATTCCTGGTGGGACCGTTACTGTCCATTTCTTTGGTAAGATGATCAACCACCCCGCACATCTGAATGTCCGGGGCGTAGAAGAGCGGCTTCATGCCTTTCTGACGTAAATGGATGGCCGTCGAGACGGCTTCCGAAATTTCCGTGCCGTCGAGTGCGCCGCATCCGCACAGAATCTGGAGTAGAATGTGATGCAAAAAGTGCGTTATGCAGGACGTCTCGTCGTCGTTGTGGGACCTCCTCCAGGAACGAGGTATTCACTGACATAACATTCGAGATTGCGGCACTAGCGCCCAGCGCTAATTGGGAAATAAAAGGAAAATTGCTAATTGGCAAACGCGAACGCCGCGATTACGAATCGGCGCGTGTACACCAGCGGTTCGTTAGGAAACATACACACACGGATCTCGCGAATCGTAAATTGACAAAAATACGCGCGGAATCTTTCTGACGCTGTTTATTAGAGTAATCCCGTAAACGTACGCCCCACGAATCCGACGATTGCAAAAATATATTATCGCCGCAAAAATTTAATAGCTCGGGATAATAACTACCGCTATACTTTCTTGAGATGGTTCTTTTATATAGAAAAACTTTGACCGCTTTCCGCCGCGAGCGCCGATGAAACGCGTCGCGTTACGTCACGCCGCGAAAGTATAGTATATCGACATCGCTCTTAAGCCGTATGCAAAACCACGCGAGGGAAAAGTTTTTAATGAGTGATGTAGTATCGCGAATCCCAAGCGGGCAACCGTATCTTAAAATCGTTTCTTACTCGTCGAGAGAATCGAGCGGACGATTATCTAATAACGTTTCCCTCGTCGACGTTATGTTAGTTTTTCCGACGAGATAACACACAGCGCACGTTCGAGATTGATTTATCTCGAGAGTGCAATTTTTGTCTCTTCCGTATCATTTCCGTGAAAAAAACTGCCAATCACTGTTTCGTAAAAGCTAACGGCAGAAATGCGAAAAAATGATAGCTTGACAAAAACTCTAACGACGGAAACAACAAAATATCCCATGCGCTATCCTTACGTGATAAAGCGAATGCAACAGCAACTGAAATAATCTCTATCTGAGCAGAAAAAATTATCATGCATAAATAAACACACGTGATATGGATCGGAACATGGAGATTTCCGTGCAAAGAACTCTTCGTACGTTACAATTATATCATGCGCCGTTTTATTGGAGCTTTAACTTATTTATCATGTGAGAAAACTTGCGCTATTACCACGTAATATCATGATACCTACTACAGCTACAGGCACAGGTTCACAGTCACTGTTCGCCTTGCTTTTTCCGGAGATAATTCGTGACGTGTGCAGGTTATTGGAAAGCGCGGATACAAGGACGGGGGTGTCGCGTCGCAAAAAGACCGCGATTCGTGACCGTAACATATTTGCTCTTGTTGCGCGGAAGAAATGACGAGAATTTTCCGAGTTCACACTGACCGAATGTATGTAACTGCAACTTTTGATAAGTAATTTCTAGAAGAACATCTTTTCGCGAGATACAACACTGCGATTTTGATTTGTTACCGTCGCTATGGACGAGCGGAAACAAGCTCATTGCCCTTCGCGGTGGTGAAGATAGTTATCAATCAGACTCGTATTAATAGTTGTTATTTGAAACTAATAAAATACTCATGTCACATATCAAGAGTGACAACCCATCAAAAGATTATTTCTCTTGAAATTAAGTCTCCTGGCCCCTCGTGTTGTTTATCTCTTTTTAATGGGATGTATAAAAACGACATATGATATAACTCCTTTTACTACTAAATATTTATCATTGTATATAGGTGATCTCACGGTGAAACCACTGTGCTGTAAAGGGTTAACATAAGCCTCGAACAATCGCGCAAACGTTTCTCACATCACGTCCACAGTTTATTCAGAGGACTCACAGTCTCTATTTTTTTTATATAACTTTGTAAAACAGATTTGGTTTGACAAAGCGGATATAGAAAAAAAAATGTTTTATTGCCGTCATACACTGAGGGAAAAATTATCTCAAATATTTTTTTGATGGATGCCATTAACATATTTACTTAAATCTAAATTCTCTTTATTTAAATCAAATATTGTTTACCTGAGTTAAGTAAACAATATTTGGTTTAAATAAAGAGAATTTAAATAAATATATTAATAGCGCCCATCAAATAAATATTTGTTGATTTTAAGGTAATTTTTCCCTTAGTGTATGTGACGCTGGTCTGTAAAATCGTTGCGAACGTGATACACAATGAAAGCGACAACCCCGCGTGGCGGAAAAGTCGCGTCCTTTCTTGTTAACCGAGCTGCGGACGAGCGCCCGCGTAGTTGCGACGGTTTTCGCGAGAGTGCGGATTCATTCGGAAATCCAGTCAGTGCCCTCGACGCCGGGCACTCGAAGTCTCTCACTCCGTCGATACATGACGACTTCGTCGTAACCACGGTCGGTTGAAGTCTCACCTGGTGAGAGCTCGAGCGAGCCGAACGTGCGTCACGGAGGAAAGGATTAGTACGGTAGCAAGATAAAAGGATGAGGGACGCGGTGGAGATGGAGTTAAGAGGAGGAACCCCGTGGCATCTTCCTGTTGCTTAAATAAACATCGGCAAGGTAGGCTGAACTTACTTTATGGCTCGTATAAGCTTTATTGTGCTCTAGGAGCAATTTTCGCTCAGACTATGAATACAAAGCACGCGACGGTGCGGGAGGTGAGATTTAACAACGCCGCGAGGAAAAAAACGGCGGCGCGCGATAGTATATATTGCGTCAGCTCATTGAAATATAAAGTAGTTTGGGAATCCGGTAGGAGAATTGATTTTCACAGCGGCAAACCGATTCCCAACGTCATTTATGAGGAAAACGCGCGTAATGTTCACAATTTATCAATTTTTCAGCTGATCAACATCGGTTATATTTCATCGGTGTAACTAAGTAGAAACTTTCGATTGTAGAGAGTGCGGCTGCAAGGTGAAAGCATAATAAAGCAAAACGAGAAAAATATTTATAAGATGCACGAGAGATTGCGAACGGGGATAATTGTTCGATGAAGATTTCCTTCTCACAGTATACTTAAACGATTGCGCCGCGCAACTCTTGAACAAAATCTGAGATCGCATTATGTAACCGATAAGGGGAAAAAAAGAAGAAAAAAAATCTCGAGTCGCACATCAGATCGCTCGTAGCACGAGCGGAATCGACAATGACGCTTATCGCGCCGCTCGTATGTCATATAAGGCCGCTTTATTATAATTATCAGCGCGAGACGAGCGCACCCCGGAGCGTTGTTTCGCCGCGACACCATTTCCACGATCCCCCTTTTCCGCGGGCCGTACGAAGGCTCACGCATAATCTTATGTAAATCCCAAGCCGCCCTTATGCTCGTGCGTCCTTACATCCGGGAAGAGGATCGTACACACAGGCTCACTCGCTTCTCGGGTTACGCGCGGCGCAAGGGATGCGTAGACGACGCGACGGTTCGGCGGCGCGCATGGGCGAGGGCGCGGGGCTTATATGAATGTTAAAATAAGTTTGAAATTGTCGCGGACAAGTTCGGCCCCGTGGGAGGTACCCGTCGAGTAATTTCACAACGCCGGCGGTTTCGACCCTTCGGCGAGTTTGCAACCAGCGGGCGGATTCGCAGAAACTTCTGCGCCGCGACTTCCGCCACCTTCGCCGATAGCTTGGCGATCGTTCGCTTTGACCCTGGGAGAACGCCGGTGCTCTGCGTGCCGATTTGCTGCGGAGAACGGGAAAAACGAGATACCTGGAGGAGACCCCAACTTGGTCGCGAAACTGGTCACCCGACCGCGTTCTTTTAAAGGTTGATTGTGGGGGAGCGATCAATGTTCTCGAAAGTGTTGCTTCCAGTAACTAGAGAGAGAAGCATTTCCATAATACTGTGGTTATTAGAATCGTCTTATATGCGAAAAGTAATATTAATATTGCGTTATGACAACCATATTTAGGCAAGTGATATCCTTATTGTTGTATGAAATAAGAGAATCAAATTTTTAAATATGAAATGAGAAAGAGGATAGTCGATTACTGCAGAATATCGATATATTCCCACGAAGAACACACTAAAGATATCACTTGCCTCAATATGGTTGCCACAACAAAATTAAAACAAGTAAACAAATTAGTTTTCATCTATGCATATAAGATGATTGTAGCAACTATAGTACTACTTTGAAAATAGCAGACCTTTTTTACACTGAGAAAAAAATATTAAAAAATTAACAAATATTCATTAGGTAGGTACCATTAACATATTTACTTAAATCAAAATTCTCTTTATTTAAATGAGAAATATCTAAATGAAAAAAAAGTCAGACTCTACTGACAGTTTCTATTCTTGCACAGCTAGAGACATATAATAAAGTTGAAAAAATTGATATGAAGAAACTATAATACCGGAATAACTGCTGTAATACGGAAGAACGAGACGTTTAACGTTGAACACAGCCTCGAGACGGCGACAAATCATTATTACGCAGGAGCAATCTCGTCCATTTTCGACAGACTCAACGGCCGATGAAGAGTCTTCTCGCGGGTGAGAGAACTACGCAAGTTTCATGAAAGCTAAGGCGCGAAACGAAGGACAAGGAGTTCGCAATATCGCGAACGGCCTGACGTGCGAACTAAAGCCGTTTCCCCGGCAATGACAGCCTCGTGAGATCCTCGACGGTTATGCGCGTCTCCGTCTGGCGCACCCTCGCGCGTCGTCTCGTTCTCGCGAAAAGTTTAAATCACGAATTCGCGGGGAGAGACCGTCGACGGCCCCCACGGCCCGCAGCACGGACGAGGATTCGGCGAGGGTCGTCGGAGAGTGAGTTCACCGGGCGGGAAGCCTGATGGGTAAATGCGATGTGATGCGAGTAACTGAGTGGCTAATTGAATGAGGTGCCTCCCAGGAGCGCCGATCCGTCGCGTGTCACACGTCAGAATTTGCGCAGCGGGAACGCGAAATTACGACGATTGTCGGTCGTGTGCCAATTATCGTCGCGCGGTATGATTGCCAGTGCGGGAAATTATGCGACCGAGCATACGCCGAATCCTGGCCGATATACACGCGGCGCTCGTTCGTCCGTCCGTCTGTCCATCCGTCTGACCGTCCGCTCGCCAAATCGTAACTGCACCGGATCTCGCTGCACCGCCGCGCGACCACGGCCGCGACATTTCTGCCGATCATTAATAACCCATTAACGGTATTGGACGCGCTTCGATCACGGCGGGATAACGCGCGATAACGACGCGCAAGCTGGAAAAAGAGGTCGTTTGTCAATTTCCCGAACCGGAGCGCCGATTGGTTCCTGAGCAGCGTCACACGACGTCCATACTTTATGGACGTATAAAACTCCAGAGGACGGAGAGAGCGACGCGACATTAAATACGGAAGTGTAACGACCCGGAGATTGCGAATCGCGTGTGCACAATTGAAAAGAGAGTCTCGGGACAGAGGCTGAGGGACGGGCGCGTGTCATCGGGCTCGTCGTTAATGCAAAGTCCGACGAAACTTCCGAGTGAAGGTCGCTGATTTTATTTTAATCGGTCTCCGGCGCGTCGAACGCTAGCTCCGAGCGGATATCCGGAGTATTTAACGCGCGGCGACTGAACGAACGCGGCTCAGTCGTTTAGTTGCGTTTTTGACGACTCGCGCTGATGATAGACATCGGAGACGGAGGGCGGTAAGGGGAAAGAAAGGACCGCCGTAAGTGGACGAGGGCTTACGGCATTGCGGATTGCTAAAGGGGGCTGCTTATGCATTCTTGGCGCGAAGGCAATCGCGGGGATGGCGGGTGTTGGATGCCGTGCGAGAAGCAGACAAGAGAACAATTACGCGCCGTCAGCCCCGTGACCGGCAGGCTACCATGAGGTGAATCAAAACTAGGTGTGTGCCATCACCCCTGGGCCAGGTCTATCTTCGCGCAGCGAGGCCACGTCCCGCGTCCCGGAGGGGAAAGATCGAATCTCGATCGGTGAGCGAGGCTGGCAGAATAGACGAGCGTCTGCAAAGAGCAATTTACGGGCGGCGGGCAAAAAAAAATACAGCGCGCCGAAGGAATCTCGGTGGAAAATTTCAGCGCGCTTTCGTTCGGCCGCCGACCCTATATGTATGTGTGTGTGTGTGTGTGCGCGCGCGCGCGTATGCGTGTATCTCGTTGATTTTTCAATAGAACCGACACGAGATGATTTGTGTATTTTAATTTTCATTCGTGCGTTTCATATCGCTCGCGCGCGCGCGCGCGCGGCAGTTTGCGCCCGACGCGGCTGGTTAATACAGAAGCGACGTTAACGTGTTATTAATCGTCGGATTCTTTTTTCATTCGCGTTCGCACTTTCCACTCGGCGAGTTGCCGGCAAATTTCCGAGCGGCCAATTCGTCGAATTATGAAAAATGAACAGCCGGTGATCCACGATTAATGACGCGCCGGACCATTTATCGCCGTGGATCCCGGACGATGACAGGAGGATGTGGCCGATAATTTATAGCCGCGGATTGCCGGCATGGCATCGCGTG